TTTAAAAAAATATTTTTACAAGGATTTATTTCAACATGCAGGGCATCAAGTACGGCAGGGCCTGGAGAAACTGTCCTGTGTGCCCTGCTGTAAGTCTGGTCCTTAAATGATGGACTTTAGTACCTAAAGTGGCAGTGAGGGACTTAAATTCACTTCCTTTGTAGATTTAGTTTTTCAGCAGATCTTCAGTCTCTTTATCTTAACAAAGAGATGTTCAAGGAGGTTGTTTGATCATAGCCTGTAAGGAATTTGATCTAGCAGACAAAGGGTATGTGCAGCCATTACACTTAGATTAACCTAACTAAGGTTAGGTTGATCTAAGTGTTAATCTGTACATGCATTTGGGAAGGTCAGGTCAAACATGGCCAGCCCAAACTAATTTAATTCACGTGAGGATGTGCACTAAGTTAGATCAGGTATGCATTAGCTCAGTCAGAACAGCTACACACATTCAGAACACAGGCTTGGAACCAAAGTCCAGCTGCTCGCCCTAGCCCCAGGGCAGCATTTTTACACACTTCCCACCCATATCAAGTTATTTTTAGGCCCCCACCGCTCTACCCCACACAGACCCACCAACCCCTCCTACAAACCTGCCAGCCCTCCCTGCAATCCCACCAACCTTCCCCCAGACCCACCAACTCCCCTATGGACCTCCTAGGCCCCCCACCTGACTTACTTAAATCATGTGCCCAGCATGGCTCCCAGCACCAGCAAACATCTGTGCAAGTAGGACCTAATCTACAACCACACAGCTTAAACTAAGCTGTGTGATCATAGACTGAGTCCCGGGAACATCTGCATGTACCCAAAGGTATAACAATATTCAATAGGTGGAAGTTGATGCTAGACAAATTTTGACTAGAGATAAGTTGCAAGTTTTTAACAGGGAGAGTAATTAACCATTAAAACAACTTCCCCAGAATTATGGTAGATTCTGCTTTCAGTTCTTTTTTTTACATCAGATTAGATGGGTTTTCTCTAAAAGATATGCTCCTGTACAAACAGAAATTGATTCAGGGAAGTGCTTGGACAGTGTTATTATCAGAGTGGATAATGGTAATGGTTCTTTCTGACCTTGTTATCTCTTACTCTACTTAGTACACAGCATGAATTATGCTCAATTAATGAACAACTATGCAATATTTTTGTTTTGTCATTATTGGTCAGTGAGTGGCTCCTTGCTTTATTTACTGAATGCTAGCCAACCCCTCCTCTAAAGACAGTAATTTCCTCATGGGCATTTCTGTGGCACTCATCACTACAGTATCTAACAGCTTCACGAACATTATTTACCTTATCTTCACATATCCTTATAATATAAGGGTACAGTATTGTTCCAGTTTTATTCATGTGGAACTTAAGCACAGAGGGCCATATTCACAAAAGTAGTGTTAGGTGATCAAATGTTTCTTTAGGCACATTAGTCGAACCATATTGGGCATTACTGGCACTCACAAAATCTCTGTTCATCTGCCACCTAGCCTTGTAGAGCCTAATGTCCCCTGACACATACGTTTCTTCTGGTAAAGTCCCCAAGGTGCCCAAGTTTCTGCTGATGGGCATGCATACACAGAACTGCCTAAACCTTGATGTTGCCTAACAGATGGGACTCCCACCCAAGTTCCTAATAGGATTCACAATACTGGTTTTCCTGCAAGTGCTGGTTCCCAGTCCACTCCTATTTTCCCCATGATCTCCTGCTCCTTACCCCACCTGCCCTCTCTCAGTTTTAGTACACACAGGCCTGATGAAAACATTGCAAAGAAAGTTGTCTCTCAGCCCAACTAGCTCCAGGTTAGAGACAGCATACCATATTTACTCAAATCTAAGACAAACCCCCTCCCCAATCAGCATGGGGGGAAAAGCCCCTCATCTTAGATTCACCTACAAAGTGGAGGTGGGGGCAGGTAGCTGCTGTGGCTCTGACACTGGCCCTGAGCCCGGGTTGGGGCCATACGCAGACCTATAGCAGCCATCTGTCTCCCCCTCCGCTTGTCCTCTGCACTTTCTGCCCCACTTTCAGGTGCAGCTTGGCTTCAGCTCAAGCTGGATTCCCCCCCTGGCTGGGAGCACAGAGAAGCTCCCTCCTGTGCCCTCCCTCTAATCAGCAGTACTGCCGCTGCTCCATGGCCCAGCAGAGACTGAGCTTTCAAGTGCTGTGCTTCAGGGAGGGAAAAGAGCCTGAATAGCATTTGACTGTAAGGGTG